ATTTTTGCTTTACCTTGCAAAAAGCTTAGATATGCCATTTGCATGGTGATTATTATTTATTTATATATTCATTAATGGGTAAGGAAGTAATGCTCTTCTAAAGCCGAGTAGAGCCACGTAGCCATGGTTTCCAACTGCACAAGCATCCCTTAGGTGAACAGCTCTTTTGAAGTGGTTTTGTTGGCAATTAAGTGCAGTTATAGCCCTGACATGAAACTAAGCATTTGTACACCTGCCCTGAATGCTTAAAATCTGTGCCAGTGAGTGGGATCTGGAAGTAGAGGAGCACCCTGCAGAACTGGGCTGCAGGATGCATTTAAATAATAACAATAATAACTAAAAGCTGTTAGTATTGAGGGCTTACCACCAGCCAGCCACTTTCCTAGTGCCTTTAATACATTATCTCATTTAATCCTCACAGCAACCTTCATGGGAGTCATTGCTGCTGGAGGCCTCATAAATATTCTAGGGTTGCAATGCCCTGCAAAAATGCCATCAGCACAGGCAACCCTGACCCGCTTCTCTGTGGTGAGATGGGAGCCAGGGCCAAGGGACATGCAAGGTGAATTGGGGCAAGCTTGCCTTCTGTACGTGCTCAGTTTTCCTTTGTTCTTTTCAGTCCTGACTCATTTCTTAATTATAGAAGTAATACCTGTTTGCTATTTTTATTTTTATATTTTTTATGTGGTTTTGTTTTTGTTTTTAAGACTGACTCTCATTCTGTTGCCCAGGCTGGAGTGCAGTGGCACGATCTCAGCTCACTGCAACCTCCACCTTCTGGGTTCAAGTGATTCTCATGCCTCAGCCTCCCTGAGTAGCTGAGATTACAGGCACATGCCACCATGCCCGGCTAATTTTTGTATTTTTAGTAGACAACATTTCATCATATTGGCTAGGCTGGTCTCGAACTCCTGACCTCAAGTGATCTGCCCTCCTCTGCCTCCCAAGGTGTCGGGATTACAGGTGTGAGGCACCGCACCCAGCCATTTGCTATTTTTAAAAATCAACAAAAGTATATGAAATTAGAAGGAAAATATACCTATCTCCTCTTAATTCCCTGCTCCCCTCCCCACCAAGATCACCACTAGATCCTGCTAGACTTAATACGTATATATAAACATAGATAGTTTAAAATATATATATATGGATGGGATCATCACTGCAGCTATTGCCTTTAAACTTAATCTTTTTGATGTCAGAAGGTGTATTCAGTGCAACATGGGCCTAGTAGTCCATTGTATACATAAATCACAAATGACTTATCTGGCCCCTTATTGCTAGGCATTGTAGTTGTTTTTGTTTTTACTCTAATGCAACAATGCTTTCATAAACATTCTTGTTCTTGTATTTGTATGTGCTTGTTTAATGTTTCTATGGGATAGATTCCTGTAAGTGAAACTGCTGGGCCAAAGAGGAAGCACATATAAAATTTTGATAGGGAAATTGCCTTCTGGGAGATTGCACCAATTTACACTCCTATCAAGAGTGACTGGGAATATTCATTTCTCTGTAACTCCACCAACACTGGATGTTGTCCAAAGTTTTTAATTTTTGCACAATGAATCAGGGAAAAGGTATATTTTAGAATTTTGCACTTCTTAAATCTAATAATGCTGAGCTTGGTTTAATTCTCATATTGGCTATTTGTATATCTTCTGTAAATTATTCCCCTCTCCTATCCCCATTCTCTTCCCTCTGCCTTTCAACACCTCTTTTTGCCCCCAGGATCCTACATGTCTCTCCCCAACCCCTTAACAGAAGGAAATAATACAGAGAGCAAGGGGATGGTGAAATGCTGAAAGAAAGCGGGTCCTGGGGCAATAGAGACAAAAAGTGTTCCCAGTCAGGAGTGTTTGCCTTTTAAAGGAACCTGCCCCAACGGGACAACGCTCACCTCCAAAAACTGGATTGCCAATGGCGCCGTTTCAGCTCCAACAACAGGAAAAGTATTTTCCAGTGGGAAGTATTTTCCAGAGGGTCCATTATAACAATGAGTCAGTGCTGTTTTTGTCTATCACAATGAGGCTTTCCCTTGCTAGTAGTCAAAGTCAGCTGCTTGGGACTGTATCACAAAGCCTTGACTTAAGTATTCACACTTCTTTGCATTAATCTAAGCGGTTAATCGGAAGTGCAGTTAAAAACGTATGTATGCAATGTTGGCCACATCATTGCTTACTGGATCAGAAAACTGGAAACTATTTTAAATGTCTGACAATAAAGAACAGGTTAATAATAATTTGGTAGATTCATCTGATGAAATATGATGAAGCAGTTTTAAATGATTCTGGAATAAGTACACTCAATGTCACTGAAAATTATTTTAATTTCAGATTAAAAATATATGAAAAGAAAAAAAACACTGAAAATTAATATGTCAAAACCCTAATAGGGAATTTTATTTGGGTGGCAGAAATATGAAAACTTTTTTTTTTTCTTTTTTGAACTTCTGGGCATTATTTCAATTTTAGGAGTGACCAAATATTATAATGATCAGAAAAAAAAATTTTTTTTTGAGATGGAGTCTCACTCTGTCATCGCCCAGGCGCAATCTCGGCTCACTGAAACCTCTGCCTCCCGGGTTCAGGCAATTCTCGTGCCTCAGTCTCCCGAGTAGCTGGGATTACAGGCACCTGCCACAACACCTGGCTAATTTTTTTTGTATTTTTAGCAGAGACAGGGTTTCACCATGTTGGCCAGGCTAGTCTCAAACTCCTGACCTCAAGTGATCCACCCACCTCGGCCTCCCAAAGCGCTGGGATTACAGGCGTGAGCCACCATGCATGAGCCACCATGCGTGGTGAAAACTTACCTTTAAATGCAGATTAACAGAATGTTAAAAAGTAGTTTATGGTATTATTCTCACAAATTATTCCTTTTAAACCTGGCAATCACTGAGAAATACAGCCTTGACCTTGCCAACATTCAGTTCTCAGTGATTCATACTTAAGGGAATCCACCACCACACCCACCCTATGACTGGGCGCTTAGAGCAGGCGGTGGCATCCATGTGCTCCCACCCTGTTGACTTCCCAACATTTATACACCACGTCCCAGTTTTAGGCATCACGGGCTCTTTCTCCCTCTCCAGCCCAAGGCCCCATTCTCCTCACACCCTCCTGCTTCCCCAGCCCCCACCCTCATTCCTGATCTCACATTCATTCTTACCTATTTCTTCCAAGCATCTTCTAAGTTACATTTCTCTATCTCCTCTTTGTTGTTTTTTCCTTTTTTGAGTTATGAATTACTGTGTTGCTCTCTTCACTTTAGGAAGCTTTATACTTAGTATACATGTACTAGTATGTAAATTATGGTTGATTACAGCATTTGTAATTATTTCTATAATTTATTTTAAAGCTGTGCATCAGGCCTTTGGTCAGGCACTTCTTACACTCTTTGACCTACTTTATGTCTAGCGTTTATTTGCTAAGAAAAATATCACATCTGTGTTTCATCTGTAAAGCCCTATTGTTATTTTCCAGGGGCCTCAGCGGAGATTTAACATCAAGAATGGTGGTAGGGAAAAAAAAAAAAGGTGATAGAATCTTTTATCTCAATCTAAGATTTCATCACTTTCAGAGATGCTTACTGCACTGGTACATATTATTATTTCAGAAGTAGTTTATTGAGAGTCTAGTATGTGCCAGACACTGTGCTTAAATGCTGGGGAATTACGAATTGTACGTACATGTTTGCATTTGCAGATGCACAAAAGCTTGCAGTCTGGAAGGAGAGGAGACAAGTATATAATCAGATGCCATGCTGGTGTTAGGTGTCCCAACAGGACCAGAGCAGGAGGGAGAGAGAGGACCTGAAGGAGAACGTGATCTGGGGAGGTTTTCAGAGGGACGCTTGAGCTAAGTCTCAAAAAATGTGTATGATGGTGGTTGCATAACTCTGTGAAAATACTAAAATTTATTGAATTTTGTATTTAAAATGGGTTAAGGATAAACCTTACAGTATGTAAATTAGATCTCGATAAAGCAGTTTTTTTAAAAGGTATATCGAAACTGGGTCAGACACACCAGAGGGAGCAGAACATCCCGGATAGAGAGAAGAGCCTGGCAAACACATGGAGATGTGAACCATCACAAGTAGGGGGACTGCCAGTCTTAGAGTGGCTGGAATGTAGGGTAGCTGTGGATGGCTCAAGTGTCCAAAAGGGTTTAAGCAGCAAAATCACAGACGCAACCTCATTTTCATGTAATGGCCCGAATCCCAGAGTCTCAATGACATTCTGGGCATCTTCTGGTTTTTTGTTTTGTTTTGCTTTGTTTTTCACTAAAAGCCCTTTCTCTGCCAAATCTAAGATGGGGAAGAAACATGAAGAGAAGGAAGAACCCACATGCCCAAAGATCAGAACAAAAAATACATTTTCTAGAACTCACTTGGGTCATCTCTCTGCTTCTAGGCAGGTTTGTTAAACTAATCCAGACAGAGGAACCTGTTTTGTCCTTAAAGGTCCCTAGAGAAGAAGACTCCAGTGGGACAGGCTTTAGGCTAAGAAAAAGCATTCTCGGCCAGGCGCGCTGGCTCACGCCTGTAATCCCAACACTTTGGGAGGCGGAGGAGGGTAGATCACGAGCTCAGGAGATCGAGACCATCCTGATCTCACCATGGTGAAACCCCGTCTCTACTAAAAATACCAAAAAATTAGCCGGGCGTGGTGGCAGGTGCCTGTAGTCCCAGCTACTCAGGAGGCTGAGGCAGGAGAATGGCGTGAACCCAGGAGGCGGAGCCTGCAGTGAGCCAAGATTGTACCACTGCACTCCAGCCTGGGTGACAGCGAGACACTGTCTCAAAAAAAAAAAAAGAGAGAAAAAGCATTCTCTGAAGGCCCTTTGCAAATCCAACCACACATGGAAAGCCCCTAGGTGAAGCAGAATGCCCTCCCTGCATTCTGATCTGTTCATCCCAGTCTAGTGACACAAAGCATTGATGTGAGGCCCTTGTTTCTTCAGTCACCCAGCCCAGAACGCCCTGAGGAGGTAAAGATCACTTACATGGCACCTGGTGATCGGGACTTCCAGGACAATGGTAATGATAGTTCCATGGAGCATGTGGGGAAAGATTGGGAGGCAGTGCACATGCTGGATACCTCTGAGGTTCAAACTGAGGGAACTCCCTGGACCTGAGAGGTCTGGGGAGGTCCTGGAGGTAACACACGGAGGTGAGGGGCAGGGGCCTTTCCAGCTGCCTGATGCCCAGGACATCCTGGGGCTGGGAATCATATCCCGTGTCTATGGTTGGCAGATCCAGGCCTGCTCGGTTCCTGTGAGGCTGGGGCCGCTGTACCATCGCCTGGCTACTGCCCGAGGAGTCTGCTGAGGCATTAGGTAAACTTTGGTCTGATTTGTCTGAGTCATGGCCAGTGTCAGGAGAAGCTGCTGAAAGCTGAGATCCCAGCCATTGATTACGTTTTTCCATAAATGAAAACTGATGCTCTGCAGGGAGGACTCCAACCACAGACTCAGACTCGGGCTCGCTGACTGCAGAGCACCCAGACGGGAAAGCTTTGCCTGGGCCTGGGTGTCTCCTGCAGAAGCTGTCTTCACTGTCCTCCAGAACTTGAGCGCGCAGGCAGGTGACCTGCTGGGATACAGGCCGCGGGTGATTTGCAAGCTTCAGGGTTGCGTGAGCTTGAGAAAAGTCCCTGGAGGAGTTGTGAGGCGTTGTGGGTACAGACAAGCTGTTGGGTGCCATGTTCCTTGTATTTGGAGCAGGTGGTTCTGATTCCTCTTCCAGGGAATATTCTGGGATTGGTTTCAGCAACTGACTTGGGTATGGTTCTGATTCATCGACCTCCACAGGAATGCTTCGGTTCATTCTAGTTTCTGCAACAAGAGAAAACATGCCATAGCCTTAGAAGACAGATCAATTCTTGGAGTCCTCACTTTATGACCTTAAGGGACCTCATTCAGGATGTGGTTTAAATTAACATTGAGACACCAATGTGCCTGCAGAGCCCTAATCCATAAAATTGTTTACTTATCCTCCAGGCAAAAGCACTAATGCTTATTAAGATATTTTATCTGGAAGGCAATTCAAAGAATATGATGGGACCATCCTGTGGTAGAAATCATTCACCAGCAAGGGGAAAACACAGATGAAAATCAACTGCCAAGTATTGAGGAAAGAGAAATTATCATAATGTGGGCTCCTTCGTGTGTGCTTGGAATACATGATGAAGTAAATCTTAGTAACTGATATGGAATGATGGCTAAGATGTATTAAGTGAGTTTTTTCTAAAAGCCACGCACAGAGCAGTGTGCATACTATGCTGCTATTTTGTGTAAAAAATGAGAGGAGAATGTGTGTGTGTTTGTATGTGCAGTATCTGCTTGCGTATGTATAAAACGTGTGGAAGAATCATAGACATTGCTACACTGGTTGCCTTTGAGGATGGAATTAAGCTGGGGGAGAGCAGTGGGAGGAAGTTTTCACCTTTTGAACTTTTATAATTTTGTTCCATTTGACTATTGCCTAATTTTAAAAAAGAAAAGTGTTTTCTTTTAAGCAAAGAAAGAAAGCCCAAGTTTAAAACATATCGAAAAAAGGTCAGAGTGACATTTTCTACCTAATTTTAGGTCATTTGGAGGACTTAATTCCCTCTGGGCACTATGCCTGCAACAAAGGTAGCCGTGACCATCTGGTTTGTGATGTAGTTGAACCAGCAAGGCTCGCTAAACTAGACCTTAGCCTGCAGAGCATTTAGCCCACAGTCCAGGCAATACTGCTTTTAGCTGTAAGAAGAACAACTCTTAATTAACCTAACACAATGAGAAAGAAAACCAGCCCTCTCTCATCATTAAACTGGTTGAGGTGATGCCTTGACTGGACGGGGAGGAAGAAGGCAGTCCACAGGACTGCACAGGAGCAACTGGGGGTTTGCAGGAGGCTGCAGAGCAGGGGTTGTAAAAGAGCAAGCAAGTGAAAAAGAAGAAATCCCAGAGGGTTATTCTATGCAAGGCTAGTACATAGCATACTTCAAATACCAGAGGGAGAAAAGGGATTGTGTCTGGATTTAAAAATTCCTACTTTGGATCCATGTCGCATTTCAACCACAAACACTGACTGAGGGCTCACTGTGCCTAAAGTCAGGTTACACAAATTATGGTTCTAAGACAAGTTTCGGAGGGCATGAATTCACTTTCTCTTGGCCCTTGTACCCAATCCAATGCGATCATGACAGCATGCATCTTGAAATGCTCCCCTTACACACAGATGGGGCCAGCAGTTTGCCACCAAATGTACTTAACGGCCTCCAGAAAGATACCTCTCCACTCCCTGCCAAATGAATGCTCTTTGACACTCTTCTCCCACTTGGTATCAAACTTACCCACCTGCCGCACGACGACCCTTGCTCCATTTTCCGACACAACAGAAAACTCAACTTCTAATTTCGGGCTGGCCTTCCCTCCTTCCCTCCATCTCTCCCTTTCCCTGTCCTTGTCCTTTTCAGGCTGTGTATGTCCTCTGCTCGTTGGTTCTGCAGAAAAGGGGACCTCATCAGCTAAAGTGAGCGGACCTTATAAAAATGAACAAGAGCCTACCAAAAACACCAGTAAATATCGCAACTGTTTATTATTTTAAAAATGTTCGGCTGAGCGCAGTGGCTCAGGCCTGTAATCCCAGCACTTTGGGAGGCTAAGTCGGTATTCGAGACCAGCCTGGCCAACATGGCAAAACCCCGTCTCTACTAAAAGTACAAAAATTAGCTGGGCATGGTGGGACGTGCCTGTAATCCCATACTGAGGAGGCTGAGGCAGGAGAATCGCTTGAACCCGGGAGGTGGAGGTTGCAGTGAGCTGAGATTGCGCCACTGCACTCCAGCCTGGGCAACAAGAGCGAGACCCTATCTCAAAAAAAAAAAAAAAAGTTCACCATTTTTTCCCATTCTTTCTTGCAATTTTTCCACAGTTATGAAATTGGATGTGCCACACAACATGCTCTTCAGCTGGTCGGAAAACAAAAGTATTTTTTCAAGGCCTAGCTGAGTGTTGTGTCATCTTCTGCACGCACTTGTGGGCCCACAGCTGAACGCGAGGCAAAGAGATGCAAAAAGTGAGCTGACTAGCAGGATTAATTCCTGTACTCTATTGTCATGGGATTCGCTTTCAATCCCATTCAGGTACAACTATTTACATTCTCCCTGGGTTTTCCCATGTGAATACCTTAGAAGTGCTTTTCCACCCACATTAAAAAAAGTCGCATATTCCACTCTTCTAGCTGAGGAGCCATCAGGGGGCTTGGAGGAGGCTTTAAAAAAAAAGCGATGAGGGCAGTCATCTCACAGAACTGGAAATCTGAGGTCATCCTCTGGTGGGAATTCTGCAGTTAAAACTGGTCTGGGGCTAGGCGTGGTGGCTCACGCCTGTAACCCCAGCACTTTGGAGGCTGAGGCAGGAGGATTACTTAAGCCCAAGAGTTCAAGACCAGCCTTGGCAACATCATGAGGCCCTGTCTCTACAAAAAAATGAAACAAATTAGCCAGGTGCGGTGGTGTGCGCCTGTAGCCCCAGCTACTTGAGAGGCTGAGGTGAGAGGTCACTTGAGCCCTGGAGGTCCAGCCTTCAGTGAGACGAGATCGTGCCGCAGCACTCCAGCCTGAGTGACAGAGCGAGACCCTGTCTCAAAAGATAAAAATAATTTTTAAAAAAACTGGGCTGAGTACCCTTCCCCCACACAGCGGCATGGCTGGCTTCCTTTCTCCGTGAGGTCTTTCCTTGGCTGTCACCTCAAGGAGGTCTCGCTGGTCGTGCTCTCTCATTCCCATCTCCCTTCCCTGCTTTACCTTATTCTCCAGCAGTTATCACTGACTTATATATCACCCAAATGTATATGATACACACAAATATCTAATTATCTCTTGTTTGCTCATCACCTCTCCCTTCTCCCAGAATATAAACTTCCTAAGGGTGCAGTTTTCTCTTTTCTTTTTCTTTGTGATATGGGGATCTTGCTCTGTCACCCAGGCTGGAGTGCAGTACCTAGATCATGGTTCGCTGCAGCCTCAAACTCCTGAGCTCAAGGATCCTCCCATGTCAGCCTCACAAGTAGCTAGGACTACAGGTGCACGCCATTGTGCCTAATTTTTTTTTTTTTTTTGAGATGGAGTCTTGCTGTGTCGCCCAGGCTGGAGTGCAGTGGCACAATCTCGGCTCACTGCAACCTCTGCCTCCCAGGTTCAAGCGATTCTTGTGCCTCAGCCTCCTGAGTAGCTGTGATTACAGGTGTGCGCCACTGCGTCCAGCTAATTTTTGTATTTTTAGTAGAAACAGTTTCACCATGTTGGCCAGGCTGCTCTCAAACTCCTGATCTCAGGTGATCCGCCTGCCTCGGCCTCCCAAAGTGCTGGGATTACAGGCGTGAGCCACTGTGCTGGTCAGCGTGCCTGACTTTTAAAATTTTTTTGTGGAGATGAGGTCTCACTATGCTACCCCAACTGGTATTGAACTCTTTACCTCAAGCAGTCCTCCTACCTCAGCCTCCCAAAGTGCTGGGATTGTAAGTGAGCCACCACATCTGGCCTAGGAGCATTATTTTTGACTGTTCTATTTACAGCTATATTGTCAGCACCTACAACTGCACCTGGCACATAGTAGGTGCTCAATAAAGATTCATTGAATGAATAAATAATTGATGCCTGTTTCAGAGAGGGGACAGACAGGTCCATGTAGCTGGATCAGTGACAACGAGAATGTCATCAACAACAATGTTGGGGAGCAAGGAGTATCTGGTGGGCCTGGTCCTCAGAGTTCTTAAAATTATGCCACATGGGTGACCGACCCTTCCCTCTCCTTTTATTTTCCTCTCAAGAACATTGGTTAAGTGCCCACTATGTGTCAAGCACCAAAGTTAGGTCTGGGCCATGCCCAAAGGTCCTGCCCATGGGCAGGATTGGCCACAATCCTTACTTGCAGAATAAAGGAGATGCCATCAGTCATGATGGGAGCATCTACTCTTAGATTGCAGGCAGGGAGGTGCTGGTCTTTGTGCCTCTGCAGAGCTCCGCCCAGAACAGAAAAGGGTGGGGCATGCCTGCCGCTACCACACGGCCCCTTCCGGCCTCAGACCCCTGCCTGAACTGGCAGAAAATGGGCAACTCTGCCAACTCTCCTTAGGCAGTCATAGAGAACAATTACAAATGCCACGTCAGGGGGCCACAGACAGATTAATGGGTTATGTCAGGGATGGCAGTTTTATCTGTTTTATCTTTAATGACAATAGTGTAAAAATACTAAACATTAAAAAAAAAAAACAAAACACTCGGTATCTCACCACTGTGTTTTTAAAATACAAAAAACCATTCAGCAGAGGGTAAAGCGTGTACTCCGGGTACGCACAGGTGGGCATGAACTGGGGACAGAGGTGAGTCCTGGGGATATACAACTGGATGGAACAGCTGTGCATGTGAGCCTGGTTCTTTCTTGTTCTGACCTGACCCATTTTTCTGTTTTTCCTTTTTTTGTTCCAGGCTTTCTCCATATTTACGTGCTTGTAACTCTGGCATGACCTTTGCTCCAGCATGACCAGAGGGCGGCACCTGGATTGAAGTGGAAAAGCCCTGTTTTCCAGCCATGACCCAGGGAGCAAGCACCGACTCCTCAGGGGAACAGGAGACCTGCCAACTAGGACCCTGGGAGCCTCCATGTTGGCAGTGCCCTGTGTCGTCTCAGGCTCACCAGCAAATCCTCGGGGGAAAGCAGGGCTGGAGGGGGAGGAAACCCAGAAGCGTTCCTGGCTCCGAATCCCTCTCTGAGGCTCCCGATACAGATGCCCAGGCCCCACACCCAGAGACTCTGAGGATTTTTGTTTATCGTATGTAAAAGACTAGTGTATTTTTGTTTAAGTCTCACAGGTAAACAAGTTCTCTCATACTTTGTCAAGGGAAATGTAATCTGTGCAATTTGGCAGTAACTATCAGAATTTTAAAAGCGTATGCCCTTTGACCTAGTAATTTCACTTCTAAGAATTTCCCCTGCAGAGGTATGTATACCTTGTATGAAATGAAGAGGCTATGAAAACAGCCAACGCCGCAGTGTTTATAATAGCAAAGACCGGACACAACCCACATGTCTAAAGGTTCTGATGTTTAAAACTGTAGTGTATCTGTACAATGAGCACTCCACATCCTTTAAGAATGAGGAAGGGCTGTGTGAACTGAAATGGAACTATCTCTAAGATGTATTAAGTTAAAAAAATCCAAGAGTAGCACAAAGGAGGGTATGCCCTCCTTTGTATGATAAAAGGTCGTATATCTGCCCATCTCAAATGAGGAACAGTGGTTGCCTCTGGGAAGGGAACTGGATGGCTAGGAATGCGGTAGGAAAGAGGTTTGCTTTTCAGAACATTTTATACCATTTAAGTTTTGTCACAAGGGCGCCTATATTGACTTAAAAGATAAAAAATGAAAAGGAAAGGCTCTGCTCGTGATTCTGATGCTCACAAACATTAAGAACCAATGCGAATGAGGAACTCATGAGACCGCCCAGGAGAGAGTGAACATGTCTCTTCAAATATCAAAAACCATTCAGGAGAGGCTGAGAACACGTGCCTGGGGTAAGCATGGGTGCGCGTGAGCTGGGGACAGAGGTGATTCCCAGGGACACACAACTAAACCCCAAAGACGACAGTAGCTTTTCTTTCTGGCTTTTTTTTTTTTTTTTTTTTGAGACAAGGTTTTGTTGCCCAGTGGCGCAATCACAGTTCACTGTCACCTTGCCCCCCTGGGATCAGGTATTCCTCCCACCTTAGCCTCCCATGTTGCTGGGACCACAGGCATGCACCACCACGCCTGGTTAATTTTTTTTTTTGTAGAGACGGAGTCTCGCCATGTTGCCCAGGCTAGTCTCAAACTCCTGGACTCAAGCAATCCTTCTGCCTCGGCCTTCCAAAGTGCTGAGATTACAGGCATGAGCCACTGCACCCACCCTGACAGGAGCTTTTCATCTCTGGACTCTCATCACCATTTGGACTGTGAGCTGTGGTTCTAACTTTTGGATCGGACAGGCATCTTTCCTCAAATCTGTCAGTTTCTCTCTCCAGGTCCCTCGCTTTGTCTTCCTTTTTGCCTCCTCGGGCCTGAGACCTTTCTCTGGGCTCCTCTACTCTGCCCCAAGCTGCCTAGTTTTGCGAATAATATCACATCCAGATGTCAGCAGCCTGACTTCCATGTGACAATGCTCCCTTGGCGTCCCACTGACAGATTTTCCCATGCTTCACCTTCTCTCTTTTTTAATTTTTCTGTACACAGCTCTCAGTCAACCCCCCTGAGCTGCCTCCAACTCTTTGCTCATGTCTGTTTCTAGCAATCTTTTCCTCTTCTAGCACAATCTTCCTTAACTTACCAGTTTTTTGAATCAGAGCCTCTTAGTCTTCACAACGCTACCTTTCTGATCTCACAGTTCATCAAAAAGCTTTTCGCCCATCATGCCTGCCTCCCTTTCTTCAGGTCCATTAGACTCCACCGTGGCCTGTGTGGGAAGCAAGTCTCTCCCAGGGCACACATGAACAGGCTTCATGCCCACATCCACAGTGAACTGTGGCTTCTGCCTTCCAGATGGGCTTACCCTAAATTGACACATATTCCTAGGATGTGGGAAAATATGCAATACTTAAATGCAAAGGCTCTGGGTTCAGACTCCCTAGGGTTAAATTCTCCCTGTGCCAGCTAGCTGCATGGTTAGATTTGTGATCTTGACAAAGTTATCTGACGTCTCTGGGCCTCACTTTTCTCATCTGCAAAATAGGGAAAAGAGCAACACTTCTCCTTAGGGGTGTGGTGAGGATAAAGAGTAGATGTAAATGAAGTGTTGAATGTAGAGCCGGGCCCATATCAAGCTTTCAAAAAGCAATGGCCATTTTGTTATTTTTAATGCAGCTACAACTGCAGTTATTATCTGGCTTTGGAGCTCTCTTTTTAAAGACAGTATTCCCTGGTGCTAATACACCCAGGTGCTAATACTATTCTTTGAAGCTAATGTATAGAGACCATATCTTTTTAACAAACATGTATATATATGAGTCATTTCCTGCACATTTGATACACATCATCTCCTTCGGTCCTTAAAACAAGCCTAGGCCATAAGCAGGGTAAGTGTTACCACTTTGCCATTCCTGTTTTACAGAGGCTTAGACACATTGAGAAGCTTTTCCATAGTCACTTAACAAGTGATGGGTGAAGCCAAATCAAGCCTTTAGATCTCCAAGCTCTTTCCATTAAGCCATATAAATCAGGGGTTGGCAAACTGTTTCTGCAAAGGGGACAGATAGTAAATAGCTTACGCCTTATGGGCCACATGCTGTGTCTGTTTCATATTCTGCTCCTTTTTTATTTTTATTTTTTTTAAGAAAAAACACCCTTTAAATATATAAAAACCATTCTGAGCAACAGGCTGGTGCTAAAAACAGGTCATGGTAACCATTGGCTCTAGGGTTGTAGTTTACTGTTGATACAGATTGTATGCTGATAAGCCAAAATACAAACCTAATGAAACTGACATACTTAAGAAACTTTACTCTTTGTTAGCAATCATTGCTAATATTTATTGAACGGTTACTATGTGGGAAATGCTGTTCCAAGTATGATAGATGTATTAATTTACTTAATCCTCACACCCACTCTAATTTCCTAGGTACTATTGTCAGACTTATTTTACAGATGGGAAAAGGGAAAAGCGAGGTATAGAGAAGGTAAGTAACTTTTCCAAGGTCACATGGCTATTCCGTAGCAGAGCTGTGATTCAAATCTAAGCGGTTTGGCACCAGAGCCTGTGCACTTAACTGCTTGCATCTCGGTTGGGAGCACTGACTGGTTCAGCTATTGGGAGGGAAAAAAGGGGATGGGGAAGCCACCCGCATAACCCCTAGCAGATTCTGGAATAAATATGCTTCAGAGCCATTTGCCTTGAAGCTGAGGAGGCATGGAAGCAGGCCACCTGTGTTCTGTACAGCATCACCAGGCTGGAAATCTGCCATGGCTTTCCTTCACGCCATTACAATACAGGATACAGATGAGGCTGCAGAGGCATCTTGATTTGAGAAAAGCATTTGATTGGATCTCATTAAATTTTAATCATAAACTGAATTCAAAATAAATTGAAAACTGGTTGACAGAGCACCAACAAAGGGTGATGATAAATGGTGATGCATCTAGAGGGGAGCTATCTTCCAGGGGACAACTCTAAGGCAAGGACGGATGGGATTTAATGAAGGTGTTATGTCCCCAGAAGAAGACAAATAGCGCAGCAAGGAACAGAGGAAGGGCAGGAGTGAGCAGCCTGAGTAATTAATAAACCGTATTAACAGCTCCTCCATAATCAGGCCTTGGTGATCACAACTGCTTGGATTTTTTCTTAAGGTTTTTTTGAGTCAGGAATAGGTTTGAAGAGTCCTGGAGACACACAGCATGAATATTTCAGGTGGACATTAAAAAGAAATCTATACATTTACAGCTAGGAGGATCCTGAGATCTACTTTCGATCAGAAACTTTCAATTACAAGGTTCCCAAGGCCTTACTTCATTCCCCAGAGAGTAATCTTTTTAATAAATGTCCAAAAGTCATGGATTTAAAAATGTATGTATTTAAACTCATTAATGTCCTTTGTTTACTGCCCAAATGCATGCAAACTTTCATAACGCTGTTTTGTTGAGTGGAAGGTTGGTTTTGAGTAAACTGTTTGGCTCAGATTCAAACTCCAGTGAACAAATACTTCCAAGTTTACTTGCAGAATTTCCCAAACAGAGAAGTTCTTCCACTGGGCTTGCCAGAGGACTTCAAACAGTGGTGAGCCCTGGAAGGAAGGGAACATTTACTGGCCCTTGGACATAACCCAGCACAGTAAGACTCACATCAGGCTGAAGGCAGTGCAGTGTGAACCGACCTGATTTGAGGAAGTTTGCTCTGGGACTCCTCTGAGCTACTAAATGAGGAGGAGAAGGACTAATGGGAACACACTGACTCCATCACATCAGAAGTTATAATAAACATTTACAGAACAACCTCAAACCAGTCCATGTTTTTTGTTTGTTTTTTGTTTTGTTTTGTCATTGTCATTGTTTTGGTTTTTGGTTTTTTGTTTCTTCAGATAAGATGGTTTCTCTAAGCACACGTGTGATCCCAAATTCAGCCCCAGCCACGGAGTGAAGGAGAGGAAGGGGCAGAAAGGAAGAATCAAGAGAGGAAGAGGAAGGGAGAGAAAGGAAGGAAGGAGAATGGAAGAGAAGTAAGGAAAGTGGGGAAATGCTGAAGGATTTTTTTGTATTTGCCTTTTATTGGTGTAGGAGAGACACTTAATTAACTTGTAATTTGTATGTAGTGCTGGGTATGAGAAGGGGCAGTTGGAAGGGAAGGGAAAGAATGAATATAGGTAAAAGGCAAGAGGATCATAGGGTAAGCTGGGAGGCCAGGAAGAGTTTGGACAGACAGCTCAGAGTAGGAAGAGAGTTCAGAGCTGGGAGGGAGACCTGTTGACTCTGGGAAGGGGAAAGGGAAAAAACATTGGCATCCTGACTGCAGGGAAACAATGAGACAGCGGAGACCAGTATCCCTCATTGCTGAGGGGCTGCCAAGACCCAGGCAGCCTCGGTCTGAGGGGTGCGAGGAGAGGGGCACAGGCTGGGAACTTCAGTCAGTCCTGGCCCTCCGCTTGAGTTCAGCTGCCTTATCAGGGAGCCAAGCCAAACCAGCACAGACCTAAGGATCACCCCACGGATGGAAGCCCACCCTTCTTCAGCCAGTCTACGACTTCTGGTATCCGGGAAAGTCTGTGCACACACAAGGTGCGCGCGCACACACACAAGGTGTGTACACACAGCTACAGAGTGAGCTTAGTCACGGCCAAGCACGTGTGTGCTCCTAGGAGGCCTGCTGGACACGGGAGGCAAAGACTGTCAGTGGGAGAAAGGACAGCCTGGGTTTCATGAACTAAAAATATCTTGGTGACAACGCACTCGGAAGAAACAGGAGAGGCCCAGGGGGCAGCTTCTCGATTCCAGTCCTCAGACACTTTCTCACGGAAAAACCCTTCAGACTGCAGGATTGTTTTGATAAGGAAATGTGATCAAACATTAGGGGTCATTTCGTTGGATCTGAAAGGAATTTAAAGTTGAATGTGCCTCATCTGTGTTCTCTTTTTCTCCTGCAGCAGTTGCCTGCAATTCATATATGTTTTTAGAAGCTAATCTAAAATTGCCTGCAGCAGAAAAATGATTTGAATTCAGGATATTCCTGAGATTGCCATTCTGCAATGTGTAAAACATAGATTTAATTTAGACAAACTACCCCACCATAATCTTTCTGAATGCCTGTTGGAAGAATGCCTGCAAATATGACTGTCTTCTCCTCTTCTTTTTATTTTCAGAGCATTTGAAAGTCACTAACTCCTTAATCCCGGGAGAAGCAGGCTTTAACATTTCCTGTCCCTACACCCTCCAAAAATGAGTAACCCTGAGTTAAGAACCTTTCTATCCGACATGTTGGTACATTACCCAGACCTCACTCCTGTTTAGCCCACCCCACGCAATGAACAGAGCAGAGTAACTACATTATCCATCTTTTGATGCTCCGTCATGGGGTGACTGGTAGCTGCAGCAGCAGATTAAGAATGACTGTGGTGTGTGGCCTTTAAGGATTAGAGCGAGGCTGGCAAGTGCACAACAGTTAGCCTGCTTTCAGATAATGGTGCATCATTGTTTGAAAATAAAATCAGGAACTCATTGCAGGTGAACTATCTTGAAATTCCTGTCCTTTCATCCCAGGGGAATAGAGAGAAATGCCTAAAAACATGACATGGACTACACCAGGACATCCCACAAAAACAGATTAGCAATACCAAAAGCTCTGCACCAGCCCATCCCGGTCAGCTAGGGCCTACTTGAACTGTATTGACGGCAGGTAATTGCCAAAAAGAAACAATAACTTTTTTTTTTTAAGTCACGGTCTGGAAAAAGTTAAGGATTCTGTGTATCCGCCATCTAATAATGTCTCTAATCAGTGTCATCACCCTTACATGGTATAAGGATGTGTTTCACAGTTTCCCTTCCCCTCCCATTAAAGGCCCCACACACAGTGACTGGTCCAACTGAGGAGTGGTTTCCAGGTCCAGCTACAGCAGTAACTCTGGCTTCTGGAGCTGGGCTTGTCTGCCAGTTCTCTGGCCTGCCTTGACTCTGTTGGGAATAGCACGGACTATCCTTCCTGGGTAACCCAAATGGGACATGAACTAATTCGAGAAACTCCCTGTTTTCTCCTATTTGGCTAGAGCCAATCATAAGGCCTCAATTCCAGGCAGCCCTCTGGCAGAGACACGTGTCCCCCAGCCTCTCCCGGACTTTCACCCTGACTGCTGCTTTACCTTTTGCCTTGAGAGCAGACGAGTGAAACAGAAATCAAAGCAGTTGACATGGAAGCGGGGTGCTACTAGGCATTTGGTAGCATGCTGAATTCTGGGGGGTAGAAAAATATCAGGAAACAAAAGTCCTTTCCTCAAGGGGGTAACCAACTGGTAGTGGGAGGTAAAATTAAAATATGCGAATAATCAGTAAACAAAACAAGTCTTGAAGACCACCCATTACCACTACCCCTCTGGGACTATCCTGGCTTTGTTTTATAGGGAATTCGACACACTCGTGTTAGATCACCACCCCCCATCAATTTACTGATGAAGAAATCCAGGCTTAGTGGAGTCAGAGTGAATTGCCTAAGTCATGGAACCACAAGAAGTGAAGAACTTGAAACCAAGTTTCTTGTCCTTTTAAAAAAAAAAATTGGCCTCTTGTTCTCCTGTTCCTTAAAAAAAAAAAAAAAAAAAAAGCCCCCTATTGTAAGATAGCATCTTGAACTTGAAAGTCACAAGAAGCTTGATTAGCTTCTAAGATCAAGTTCTGGCATTTCTTCCCCTTTTCCCAAAGGCTCCGTCCAGCGCCAGCCTGGGAAGACTGGAGGGCGGCTGCGGAGAGGGGCCGGGAGGCGGCTCAGAGCCAGCACAGAGCTCAGCAGAACTTCCTGGCCCAAGAATGTGCTGTTGATTTTTTTTTTTCCCCCTGCACGAAACAGGGCTCGAGAAAACTCTGCCACTGACGTGTTCTGGGGCTGAAAGCCAATTACTTAATCTTTGCCATCCCTGGCTCTCTCCTTGGAGAAGTGGGGCTTGAATTCTTGATAGAAACGTGTGGGGACACTAAGTACCCAAACGAATGGTTCCCAGGCAGCTCCGAGCTGTCCCCGTGTGCGAGCCTCGTCTCCTCAAAGGGTTAACTCGGCGGGGCTCGCTGGCCTGAAATACTATACCAGCAACGCATCCTTGCAGCACAAACTCCACTGTCATTTTCTCAGCTAAGATGGTCTCTGTGCGAACAAGTTAAAGGAGGGGAGAGGAAGACAGAGAAAAGTAGAGGCAGAACGTCTCAGTAAAGGAGAAACAGCGTGCTTTGGAAAATAGGTCAGAGGTGACGAAATAAGACCAGGCAAGTGGTAACTCCGAGAAACTTACCTTAGAACCACCACGGACAGACAGACCGGGCCCGGAGAGTGGTCGGCTCTCGGCGGCTTCTCGTCTCTCTCCACCTTGGGTCGCCCTGGGCCTCCCTCCGCCCTCTCCCGGCCCAGGTAAGTAGAAGAACAGGCTCTGAAGCAGGAAGTGGAAGCTGTATGCAAATTTCTACGGAGCCTAGGAAGCCTCTGCTCAAAATCTCCCTGTGGGCAGTGAATCAACGGCTGAGGAGTCACTATTTCTTAAAACAGAAACCTCCTTCATTCATGAGAAAGGGCCAGTGACCAATTAGGCGGCATTTTTGTTTTCGCCACCCAGCTAAGAAGCTGCCCAGGAGTGGGCCGAACCTCAGTGTAGTCGCAGTGCCCTCGCCTGGGAGGGTATCTCCGGCAGGATATTGAACTTGAGGGTTAAGAATGACTAATCATTAGCAGCATCAAAGAGGGGATTGGGGGCAGATAATGGGGAGGAAGAGGGAGCGGAGCTTCTTGCATCTCCTCTAACTGCTTAAAACATCAGTATTTGCTGCCTATAACCACTGAGCGGGGGGCTCACTGACCATGCCCCTGGACACACGTGTACACACATGCCTGTGGCCTGTGCACGGGCCACCCTATTGTCAGGCACAAAAAAAGTGGTTAATTTTAAGAACACACACACACATACATACACATGCACGCATGCACTCTAACCTCTGGCTGCATTTTCCTGACCTCCAGTTTATTTTCTCCCCTTCCCTTCCCATTGTTTAATCAGTAGCCTGCAGAATGTATTGCATGAAGGAGCGCGGCAGGCAGGATGATACCCAGCGATGTGAAGAGAGAGAGAGAGAGAGAAGACACAACTGCCTTTCCGGGCAGCAGGGGGTGATGGGAGCGGTGTTAGCTGGAGCTTTGGAGTCAGGAGGACCTGGGTACGAACTCAGCCATGTCACTGGCCAGCTGGGCGCCCTGGGCAGGCACCTGGTGCTGGACTTGTCTGCCTGTTGAAGGGGTCCAAATGTCAGTCCACTCAACCGGCTATCTCTCTACTCTGGGGACAGGCCCCAGAGCATCCCTGTTCAGACTGTACCAGGTTCTGCTCAAACAGGATACAGGAAGCAGGTTGCTCAACATTCCACAAGCAGAGAGAATGCAGCTCGTTGTTAACACAGTATACACAGGTTGTTTGCATTTTGGTATATCCTTACAACAGAATATGATGCGGCTATTAAAAATCATCAATATGTATTATCTGAGCCACTAACATGAAAAAGTGACTCAGATATATTATTTAATGAAAAGTATTATCTTATTTTTTGCTAATATATGTGACATACACACACACACATAGATATGTATATCGATTTTTTTAAGAGACAGGGTCTCAGTCTGTTGCCCAGGCTGGAGTGCAGTGGTGCAATCATAGCTCACTGCAGCCTTGACCTCCTGGGCCCAAACAATCCTCTTGCCTCAGTCTCCTGGGTAGCTGGGACTACAGGTGCACACCACCACACCTGGCTAATTTTTTTATTTTTTCTAGAGACGGGATCTCCCTGTGTTGCTGAGGTTGGTCTTGAACTCCTGGTCTCAAGGGATCCTCCCACCTCAGCCTCCCAAAGTGCTGGGATTACAGGTGTGCATCATTGCACCCAGCCCAACATATAGATTTGTGTTTGCTCACCACTGGGCCCCAGGGGACCTAGCACACTGCCCTGCCTAGAATATTGTAGGCAATCACTGTGTATCTGTTCAGTGACCAAGTTAGAAATATCTGGAAAGATGTACGCCAAACTGTTTAGTGGTGCTCACTTCAAGGGAATGCAATTGGGGAAAATAAGTGAGGATGGAGGGCTTTATGATATATACATATGGACTATTTGATTCCTTTTTTCACAATAACATATAGGACTTTTTCATTTAAAAGAATGAAGCTTTTTTTAAAAATGTATTACGTTGGCTTTGAAGTTTCTGCTTCAAAATTATTATTAGAGTCATCTTTTGGAGAGTAGGAAAAAATAACATTTTCTGTGGTCTAGTTGGTACCAGGATACTTTGAAAGAGCTACTGGAGTTAGGAAATGGGAACAGAAAAGCAAAGAAGAATGGCAAGGGGAGGAGCTAGGAGGGAGAGCAAGGGGAGCGGGAGCAGAAATAGTTTTCATTTCTCTTTGTTGTCCTTAAATGGATTGGGAAAGGCCTGAAGATGCTCTGCCGAGTACCAGCTCCGAAATACAGCCTGCCAGGGAGAACGAAGGGAAACTTTTCTCCAGTTCTCCACCAACTATTTTCCTGGGTGTGCGACCTGAGGGCCCTGTAGGAAGAACACCAGGTGCTGAAGTGCTGCTTTTCAGTGCTGCTGTTGGCTGGGCCTTCCTCTTGTCTACCTTTTTTTTTTTTTTTTGAGACAGTCTCACTTTGTCACCCAGGCTGGAGTGCAGTGGCACGATCACTGCAACATCTGCCTCCTAGGTTCAAGCAATTCTCCCACCTCAGCCTCCCAAATAGCTGGGATTACAGGTACCCGCCACCACACCCAGCTAATTTTCTGTATTTTAAGTAGAGACAAGGTTTCACCATGTTAGCCAGGCTGATCCCTAACACCTGACCTCAGGTGATCCACTCGCCTCCTGTCTAAATTTATCATGAGCAGAAAGGCAGGCGCTTCAGGGAATGAGTTCGTGGCTCCCTCCTAGAAGCCTCTGCTGGGGCCCCAGGCTGAAAAGCAGCCTGAGGATGGACACTGTTTAGAGAAGGTGTCCTGGACAGGAGAAACCGCCTCTGAACCTGCCTGAGGCAGTTACGGTGAAACACAGGTGGCCCAGGTGAACGCATACAGCTTTTGAGTTGCCGTCACAGGAGAGCAACTCTTCACTAAGGACCTACCCTACACTCCCTCTGAGCGCATCTCATCCTCCAAACAGTCCTGTGAAGTGTGTGTACTGTCATTCCCACTTTACCTTTGAGGACTCTGAAGCTCAGAGATACTGAGTAACTTCTACAAGGTCACACAGCTCATCTGTGGAGGAGTCAAGCCCAGAGCAGTCTCCCTTCCAGGTGGATGTTACTACTGCCCCCTCCCTGTGCCCCGCCACAGCCCCCCAACCCCTACCCTCCTTTGCCCTGTTGCCATCTGTTCTTTCTACATGCTTGGGTGGGACACAGGTAACTTGCTTTCTTTGCACAACTCTTGACAACTCTCAAGAAGGGAAAAAAAGGTGTAAACAATAAAAGGATGGGGTTGTGACTGTGCCACAGCCTGGTGCTGTGTTTATATGGTAAGGGTTGCTGTACAGATAATAAATAGAATAGTCAAGATGTGGGTCAGCCTTCTCCACGCTGTTAGAAATCTAGAAGGGGAGCATGTGTGTTTGCCAGGTCCTAGAGTTTGCTCAGTGAATTCGTCAGGGTTCTGCACAGAGAGAATCAATAGGATTACCTCCGTGATTATGGAGGCCGAGAAGTACTGTGACAGGCTGTCTGTGAGCCAGATACCCCAGGATGCTGGTAGCGTGGCTTAATCCCAGTTTGAAGGCCTCAGGACCAGGAGAGTTGATGGTGTAACTCTCAGGCCAAGGGCAAAGGCCTGAAAACCCAGAGGCCACTGGTGTAAATGCTGGAGTCCAAAGGCTTGAGAGCCTGGAGTCCTTGTCCAATAACAGGAGAGGAAGAGTATAACTCAGTTCCAGCAGACAGATTGACCCATTCACCTTTTCTCTGATTTTGTTCTCTCTGGACCCCTAGCAGATTGAATAGTACCCACTCACATTCAGTGTGGCTCTTCCCCACTTACTCCACTCAGACTCGCATGCTAATCTCCTCTGGAAATACCCTCACAGGCACACCCAAAATGAATGCTTTACCAGGTTTCCAAACATTCCTTAATCCAGCCAAGTTAATACGTAACCATCACACTCAGTGTCATTGTCCATTCCAGCTGCTGTAACAGAATACCATTGACCGGGTGGCTTAAACAGCGCACGTTTATTTCTCATAGTTCAGGAGGCTGGAAAGTCCAAGATCAAGGCACTGGAAAATCTGGTGTCTGGTGAAGTGTCACCTCCTGGTTCATAGTGGCCATCTTCTCATTGTGTCCTCACATGGTAGAAAAGGGGCTGAAGAGTTCTCTGAGGTCTCTTTTATAAGGACACCGATCTCATTCATGAGGTCTCCACCTCATGACTTAATTACCTCCCAAAAGCCCTACCTCCTGATACCATTATATTGGGGGTTGGGTTTTCAATATATGAATTTTGGGGGGATAAAACATTCAGTCTATAATACTTAGTGTATTAGTCCATTTTCACACTGCTGATAAAGATATACCCAGCATCGGGTAATTTATAGAGTGAAAGGGGTTTAATGAACTTATAGTTCCATGAGGCTGGGGAGGCCTCACAATCATGGCAGAAGGCGAGGAGCAAATCACATCTTACATGGATGGCAACTGGCAAAGAGAGGGCTTGTGCAGGGAAACTCCCCTTTTTAAAACCATCAGATCTCATGAGACTTATTCACTGTCATGAGAATAGCATGGGAAAAACCTGCCTCCATGATTCAATAATCTCCCACCAGGTCCCTTCCACAACATGTGAAAATTCAAGATGAGATTTGGGCGGGGACACAGCCAAACCATATCACTTAGTATTTTTTAAAAAGGCATAAGAAGATAGAGAATATCTTATCCCACTCCCATAAACAAAACTGACCAAACCATTTGGATCTAATGCTTAGAAACTCTCTATTCTATAGCATTAATATATGGAAAGAAATGAAAAGGGAAAGGATTTATTCCTTGGACAAACCTTGATTTTACATTTTTAAAAACTATAATTTCAAGCACTAAAAAAGCAGAGTGAAACTATGACATTTCATGTGGACGAGAAGACAATTACCATCGTGTTCTTCTCTGAGAAGGGCCCTTGTCCAAAGGGTCCGGTGTGCTCAAATACCAACAGGCTAACTCTCCCCACAGCCCTTCAGTGGACAGTCACTGCTAGGGTCCAAATGTCTGTGTCCCCCCAAAATCTACGTTGAAAACCCTATCTGCAATGTGATGGTATTAAGACATGGGGACTGTAGGAGGTGATTAGGTCATGA